GTCAAAATTAATTTCAAAAAGATTAGTATGAAGACTAAAAACATTTCTAAAATGTTTAAGATAAGCTTTCCTTTCATAAAGTCCATTGCAATGTGGGCACCTGTACTCACTGTTACCTCTTAATTTATGTACAATTTTGAAATGCCTCGACAATAAATCTAGGTTATCAAAACTCTCTCGACATTTAAAACATACGTAGACGGCTCCAGTTTTTAGTTGATGAATTGCTTTGACGAGTTTTGACCTGTGTCCTATACTTGGAACGAGATCGACGATGTCTTCTTTGGAAAGTTCCAAAACTGATTCGTCGTTAATGTGATTCTCTGGAAACAAATAAAAATACCAAATTTTATACGGGGGAAAGATTCTAATATGAATAAAATTTAGGGAATACTTAATTCCTACATTGCTTCCACATTTATTAGGTAAATTTACTTACCTTCAAACTTGGTGATATAATCCTCCAAACCGCACTGTTGAAGAAGACGTCGCACCTCAACGTATGACATTTTTCGAAATTTACGTTAGGAATTTTTTAATCTCGGAAATTCACAAAGACCGGCCGAGCTGGAGGGATATGTGTGGGAGTAGAAGAATGAATGGAGCGCGGTGGCAGCCTCGACCAAATCCCGCCCATTTACAATCTCGCACCGAGTTAAAATCTAATGGCAACTTTTTACAGGGTTGCTCACAATGCCAGCCAGGGTAACTTTGTAACTCTTACCCTTTCTGGCACTGTATAGCGTGTTACCTCGTAATGGGTAGAGCTTTTAATGCTGACTCGTATAAATTTTACCCCAGCCAGTTTCACCCGAATATTAACACAAAATAAAGTTGATGACATTTTTAACAGTGCAAGGTCTCATTCTTGCAAAAGCAGCTCTCCTATTAATATTGGGTTGGGTGTGGCAGAACTTTGTAAATGTGTACTATCTAATTCACTCCTCGCCACAATTCCCTTCTAGCTAGCATAGCTAAATATAGATTACATAAAACATGGGAACATTGCGCGTGTTCATTTCTGCGGTAAGTTTTTTCTTAATTTCATAATCAAACCTTAATAATTCCACTTTGTTATGTATGTATTTGGTATGTGTTTAGTTATCTGTCCTGGGTTGCTCAGTTCTCCTGGGAATTTATGCTACCCAGGGACACTATACCCATGAAGAAGCCAGCACCACTTCCACTGACTTTTTCTACTTGTACCAAAATGGTAGGATACACAGGTGTTTCAGTACCACCGCCACCACTGGAATACTTCAAGCTCAGCCCGCTCTCGTTAGCTATGGTCCGCCGGGGAATGCCCCTTCCAGTCCCGTAATAGAGGGACAACAAGTGTTGGCTGCGACATCTTTAATTCCAAACTGTCCCCCGAATGACCCTGAGAGGAATCGGGAAATAGTGCACTCTGTGTTCCGGGACATACTTGGGCTCCACCGGTTGGATCAACTCGAGTCATTCTTCCACCCCGACTATATTCAACACAATCCAGACGTGGCGGATGGGAGGGATGCTCTGAGGGACTATGTCAAAATGGACTCCTCCCCCGCAGAACCCATCGTCCCACTGCGGTCCGCCGCGGACCAGGATTTGGTCTGGACTCATAATAGAATCAGCTTTGACGGAAAATATTTTGCGGTGGTGGACATTTTTAGTGAGTTATCGTTACAAACACTTAACACAAGGAATCTTAGGAATCATTGAGTGAATGATTTGCATATTTTTTTAGGATTTGAATGTGGGAAAATTAAGGAACATTGGGATGTCATTCAAGACACCAAGTTGACCGAGGCGGCCAAGAATGCGCACCCGTTTTTCTAATAATAAAAATATTACGTATTAGGCAATATATTTGAGAGGATATGATACACACATATGCACAGTATCTAACCGCATTTAATGATACGGTACTTTACGTTGCAATCAATTAGCATTATGTCAAGAACAACTAACAATTTCAGAATGTTTTTTTTTACCATTATTCTATCATATATTGAACTACGAAACTGCATAGTTTTGAATGAATTGAATAAATATTACTTTATCTACAAATATTTGAAATCTACAAGGTGAAAATTGCATTGGGCAAAATTAATGATACGAATTATACTTTTTGAAATAATGAAATATATCAGAATAATCCTCACATATGTGCACTCCAATTTAACTTTTATGAAATTTTATTAATTCCCTTATCCACGAAGGCACAAACGGAATTAAAATCCCCCAAGAAATTATGTTATTCAGCAATGCAAGTTTACCAAATTTCCATGTGCTCGGTGGAATACCGAGTAGCATGTGCACTTTGGTTTCACATTTACTTGATCTATATCACAAGCTGGAAATGTCTCTTGGCAACGGAAGTGAAAGTATTTTGTCCGTGACGGAAGTGAAAGTGATTGGCTTATTAACTCCCTTGGAAAGTCGATAAGTCACTTGAGATATATCAATTCGTAGTGATTTTGAACGCTGAACACGAATTTGATACTCAATTTAACCTTCGACACCCCCATGACCGTCTGGGCGTGGCGGAAGGTCACACATGTCGAATACACGTCAGACGTGTCAATTTTAACTGATTTTGAACGCTGAGCACGAATTTGGTATTAATTTTGACCTTCTGAACCCCCGTGACCGTCTGATGATTTCAGCTTATAAAATCAAGTACCGCCCGGCGTGAGATGGGCTTATTCACTAGTACATAACATTTACTAACAATGCGAGGGCAAACCATGCCATGTTCAACCCAGACCTTTTTATAACTATCATAGTTTGATAGATCGATTCATCAGAAATAACGTTTGGTGCGGCACTTGTGCGGATATGCACAATTCGGCGACTTTTGGGCGCCGCAAGTTTGAAAAAACGAGGATTCTCCCAGCCAAAACCGTAAAACGGTTTTCTGCCTGTAAAATCGCAAATTTGCAGCGCCCAAATTCGCCGAATTCTGCATATCCGCCCAAGTGCCGCACCAAACGTTATTTCTGATGAATCGATCTATCAAACTATGCTAGTTATAAAAAGATCTGGGTTGAACATGGTTTGCCTTCGCATTGTAAGAAATAATATTTTGCACGAATGGGGACCAAAGTTTCATAATCTGCATCAGTTATGTGCAAAAATACATGTATATAATTTCTTGCTTAAAATCATCTCATGGTTACTTTAACCGAAATATTTATTGCTCGCAACAAAAAAATTATTTATTACGATTACATTGCACCGCACTATCAACATCCTGGACTACATATAATCGCAATCAAAGGATTATCAGCGATTCTGCTTGGAGCGATAACGTTTGGACAGGATGGGTAAGTTTGCACAGAGCTCACGTATGCACCATCACTCAGGAAGCCTTCATCGCTAATAACTCATCATTGAATGACTAATTGTGTGTCCTCTTTCAATCGTAATCGCAAGTAATCTATAGTTACTCTACATACAATAATTGCAAATAAGTATATACTACCTCGTACTACATATCTCAAATCAATTTAGCTTATCTTTCCGTCCATTTTGATCCCGTCACTATATTCCGTAAAATGTTCATATATCTAAACGATGTGGTTCTGCAATCACGTCAGTGCTAATTTTGACTTCATTGGTGTACAACATTAGACCCGAAAAAGCCCCAAGTTCAACATGTACCTTTTCACGAAACCAGGCATCTTTAAAATAATTACCACCGTGAGTAAATCAACTACTAATTAATCAGTATAATTAATTAACAATTAATTAGTTTACCTGGTTTGAATCCCTGGGCGCTTACGTGTAAATACTTTTCCAAATTTAGATTATCTTATTCGTCGCTACCGCCGTTGGGGTAACCGCACATTATGACTCGATCATCAATATGTATTTTTTTGATGAGCCACTTGCCTATGAAGCTTGCAAGCGGGACACAGATTGCCCCCATGAAACGAAACCTCTGGAGCAACTATTCGTTTACATTTCCATCGTGCTATCCGTCTTGGCCTTGATTAATTTGGTTGCGTTCTCAGTCTTGGCGAACAAGAACATTCCCGTTCTAAAAACAGTGGTATGTATTTATTAAGTAGCACAAGCTAAATACTTTATGCGATCGGTTAGTTAGTCTGTCCGTCTGCCCGTCTGTCTGTCCGTCTGTCCGTCAACACTATAAGTCGAGAACGTATCAAGATAATGGAAATTCGGCTGCGGCATCATACACATGACCCCAGGGGGAGGATCCCGTTAACTTTTGAACCACACCCCCTCGGCGCCAGGGGGTGTGGTCGCGGTGTCACAATTTGGGCAAAACATGTTTTTCGGGGTTGTCGGCATGTCGCAGTATAGAGCATGTGGTCAATTAAAGATAATTAGTTTGTTTTTAATTAATTCGTTTTTAGGCATTATTAAAATTTGAATCGGTGAATTATTTGTTTTATTTTGTGAAGGATTCTAAGCATTTTTGCGCAGCTTATGTATCGTGCTTTGCCGCACTTTATTAAGTAGCGCAAGCTACTTTATGCGATCGGTTAGTTAGTTTGTCCGTCTGTCCGTCCGTCTGTCTGTCAACACTATAACTCGAGAACCGTTTGTCGCAGCGACCTGAAATCTTTAACACATGTTCATCACGGGGGTTGGGTGACACCCTTAAGGGGGTGTGGCCACTTTGTCGACATCATGTCGAAAAACGTCGCCATGGCCTAATTTCTGCATTTTTTGGGCGATTTGCATGAAATTTGGGCAAAACATGTTTCTCTGTGTTGTCGACATGTCGCAGTATAGAGCATGTGGTCAATTAATTAATCAATCATTATTCAATTAATCAATTAATTAATCAATCAGTCAATCAATTAATTAATCAATCATTAATCAATTAATTAATCAATCAGTCAATCAATTAATTAATTAATTACTTTAATTAATTAATTTAATTAATTTGAGCTTTATAGCGCAAATTAATTCTCAGCATTCTCAGCATTCTCAGCATTATTGCGCTACTTATGTATCGTGCTTTGCCGCACTTTATTTATTACAAAACCGACATTTTTTTCTGCATAGTTCTTAATTCTGCCAGAATCAGCAAAAATATCAGTATACATGCGTCTAATAATCTTAAACGTTTTCGTTAGTTTTTGATTACTACTTGCGTTAATTTGTATTTCGTCCTCCTGTGTAATGTTCCATTTTAATAAGCAGATATATGTAGGAAAGAATAAAGCTCATCAGAGAGAAAGACATCAGATGAAGATAATTTTCTTGCTCCTCAAGATCAGGATCACAGATCAAGACAAACCAATAAAATTCCCAAGATAAACGATCAAACTCGTAAGATTCATACTTTAGAAGATTAAGATCAAGCTTAAGATATATAAAATATCCTTGAGCGAGTTCAATATCATGATCAAACCGATCAAAGGCTAAAGTCGAATATCAAAGATAAGATATTATGTGTGATCTTGATCTGGTGTCTGAGATAGTAATCTTGTCGATCTATAATAATGCGCGCCTGATTCCCATAAATACTCGAACATTATCCTTATTCATTGGGCATAATATTGGATATGTCCGCATAGAATTGAAATGGGATATCGAGTAATATTGATTTCACGAATTCTCGGAACAGCAAAATATAACAAGTGCATATTCTTTATCATTAACATGGTAATTAAGTTATAATATTGAACTTTCTATATTAACTGCCCTAGTTCATAACACAGGATCACCTAATCCCAATAATTTATCCTACAGGACATCATATTCGTCACAATGGCTGGAATATTAATAGCAGTAGCGGGACTCGCCTTAATCTATGCAACAGTTAGAATTGAGATATACCTTGAACTTGATTCTGGGGTAAGGAAGGAGGCGAAATCTATTAACAAAGGGGCCGCTGGGGTAAGCCAATTAAACATAATCTTTTAATTTTGACGGTACTATTTCCTCACTTCTCTGTTCTTAGTTACTCTGCCTTTTGGATGCAATTTTATTTTTCGTGACTGCCTGCGTTGTGTCATGTCAGCGCCAAGATAAGCCTGCACCACAAACTGTATTTGTTACGCAACAGCAATATGTTCCTCCCAACATGGCACAATTCCAAGCCCCACCCCCAAATCCGAAACCACACCAAAACCCAACTCCAACAAAATATCCCGTTCAACCGCAGGAAATCCAATACTCTTCTCAGAACCCGTACCAACCTCCGGCTCAATACCAACCCTCAAATGTACGATTTCAAACCCGGCAGCCCAGCAACACTGGATCCAACTTGGAAAATGAATACCATCCGCAAGCAAATATTCCCTTCAACCATGGGAACCAGGCAGCACCTTCGAATTATGCTGAAACTGCTACAAATGATTATTACGTTCCACCACAGGACTATGAATAATTTTTATTGAAATCCATAATAAATAAAGATTAGTTTTGAAAACGGTGATTCATAAGGAGTCCTAATTAAGGACGACTTTCGGTTTTCAGTAAAGTACTAATGTAATTAAAACATATTGGAACAATTAAAATGAAATAGAAATATGCATATTCTTAAATAAACTTGAAATAAAAAACAGCTCTAGGAAATGTCTTTTCGTGAATCATAACTTCCAGATCGATCCGAATACTAAACAATTTTCTGAGAACAAGAAATTGGAAATGCAATATGTTTGATGATTAATCATTGATTGGCGTCACATATATATGCAAAGTTGCATAATGCAATATTCTGATGCCACTATGTACACCGTGTTCAGAAAGTCCTCCCCGACCCGTTTTTGCGCGCGAGCCCGGCACAAACACAGCTATAACTTTTGTTCCTGTGCCTATTTTTGTTCGAAATTTTCACCATGCCAACAACCGGTATCGTTGGATTACATAAGTTACATGTTGGATTGGAAAATACGTTATATAGTTACTCCCACTACTCAACTCGAATCAGACGAATCCAGACAGTACCACCCAACTGCACTCCATTTTAAAGATATGAGCAAAGTCATGTGAAAAACTAACTTGCAAACTACAGTAAACATCACTAAAAGTTTTGGAGGAATGACAAAAGACTACCCGTACAAATGATTCCTCTCGTAAACACGTGCCGGGGATGAGATCTCGGTGCTTATTTAATTGTTAACTTAAATGTTCGATTAAAACGGACTTCTTCCGCTGAGCTCCAATAAACAGTTCAAAAACAGTGCAGATATTACTTTAATACTAATGAAACTAATTTATTATCGACACTCGCACAAATTAATCGACAACCAAAAGACCTTCTTACTCAAAGAGTGTGCTCTCACTCACAAAAAAGGTAAAAGGCACGCAACGAAAATGACGTATTATTTTAAGAGAGGGAGGCTCAAAAAGCTGGGGAAATAAGATACTCGGTCTACAATAAAGTAGTCTGGGCAAAGTATTAAATGTCAGCGAACGCCAGATTGGTGTAAATTACAACCAAATATGTAAGCCAAAAATATGTAGTAAAATGACTATCAGCGTTTCATGTTGTCATCAAGCGTTTTTCATTATCTGTCGAAACATCATCGAAGAAGTACGGGAATCTGCTGCCTGGTGGAAATTAGTTCCATACCTAGTCCATTAATAACTATTGACTCTCATCCAAAAGCGCAACATAAATTGGGAAGGAATTTTTTTCGTAAGTTCTAATATTTGTTTTCATAATCTACGTTAAATTAACTATAAAGAACTATCTATCATAATTTTATAAGCGAGGACGTAACAAAATGTCACTGAGATTTTCATAGTACTGTAGAACACTGAAGTTTAACATCAGCTTATCAACCGTGCCATTAACAAGGCGACGGTTGGTGTACACAAATCTGCGTTATTAACAAACTTTTCAAAAAGAAGTAGCCTGCCTAGGTCCAAAACGTCATAATTCAAACAATTTGTTCCCGAACCTCAATAATTATTGAGGCTCTGAAGAAACGAATTCGCCGGAATCTACGCCGGAGCCACAAAAATGGCCCTACAAATGAACGTTTTACCTGAAACCATGTCCTATGGAATTAATTAGGACCTTGGGCTTAAAGACTTAAAATGTAGAAACCAGAACTTGCTAACTGCACGACAAATTTAGAATCATCTCACTATAAGCCGGCGGTTACCAAGCGGTGCGCGCATGAAAAGTAGAAACGAATACCTATGAAAATTTTTATAAATGAGGCAAAATCCAATAAACAAAACGACCGTATCTACGCCACCTGAGTCCAGGAATTAAAAAATAATAAAATAATAATCGGTCCCCCATCCTGCTTCGTTGGGCATAAATTGTATGGGCAAGACAAATGTGAATTTTTTTCCTCAGGCAGTGAAAATTCGGGAACAAATTGTTTGAATGATGTTATTGAGCTGAATGTGCAACCCCTGAACCACACCCTATATAGTCTCATAATCTGTAATGACAAATGCCCCCCGTGAAACAATCCGTGTAGCTTTGAGATGACACAGGAACCTTCAAAACCGTGTCATATTCTGCCAAAATCATCAAAAAGAATGGTTTCTGGACCCCAAAGGTCGTAGTTAGGAAAAATTCTCCCACACCCTATTACCAATGAATCTTGGATTTAGCTCTACCCAGCAGGTAACCGTCAACATAAGAGATAAGGCGAAGTGATGAATAACTTGGATCGGATTTTTTCAGGTGAGTCAACTACATGTGGAGTTATTAAGTTTTGAAATTTAACATTGTTAGTGTCTCACATTCTTTCGGCCCAAGCTTTATATGCGTAATATCCACAATAATTTATATAATCGACATGACTTCGTCTGTCGGCTGCGGAAGTGAAAGAATAAGCAATGCTTTTTAAACGTTCAATTTTGATTTTTTAACTATGAGCGATATTGCTAGTATAATTTGTAGTAGCAATATCGCATTAACCGTATAGTTAAGAACTGTATCGAAATAGATAGAGAACGTTTGTTTTATGAGGAAGAATAACCCCACCTAAAATCCTATGGGACGCAGCGATTTTACTTTTCTCCTCCTCCACGGAGTCCTCTTCATAGGCGACCGGCAGTGTGTGCAAAAAGCCTGCCTTTTTGCTTTTTTTGATGCCTTTTAGCCTTTTTGCCATTTTGATGCCTTTTGCCCGAATGAATGCTTAGAACATTGGAAGAATAAAACTTCCAGAATTTTGATAATTTTCGAAATCGAAATAGATATTCAGGTTGTGGACAAAATTCTGAGCATTTTGGTGGGTGATTCGAACAAAATCGGATAATATTTTAAATTCTCCACTTGATAACATGCAAAGCTGAACGTTCTTTGATTTTGGTAAAGTCACCCACCAAAATGCTCAGAATTTTATTGAGATTGACAAAACCTTACTCTTTGTCGTCTAAGATTTCATTTAGAAAAAATTGTTTCATAACGCCCCATTTTGAGCAAAAAGGCATACATTTGTTGGGGGCAAAAAAGACCAAAAAGGCAGTCAAAAAAGCATGCCTGCCTTTTTCCTCGGCGCAAACTGGGTATTCGGACCCGAGGTAAAGGTTTGAGATTTTGCCCCAAAAGAGCAATGTTATAACTTTTCGAACCTGTACTTTTTGAAAAATCACTGTGGTTGTATAAAAAATGCTACAGCGGTGATCCGCATATGAAAATTCTCAGGAGGGGAACTTCAGAACATGTCCCTCTCAGAATTCGATGCCCTATGGATATTTTGTAGTTCCCCATGAGTGTATCAAAACCCTGAAACGGTTTGATGCCATGGCCCCATTTGTGCCCGCCACACCCACTCAAAAAATACGAAAAATACACTGTTTTGTTCATTTAAAAATTCACCAAAAATCCAATTTTGATCGGATTTTCATAATTTAAGCATTTCTGTGATCCTAGATAGTTGCTTTAAGATATCCAATATCAAACTCAACTTTTTTGAAATTTTGATTTTTTCGAAGACACACCCCTGCTCAGAAAATTTTCGAAAATACTCAAAAAATTTAAAAAATATATTTTGATGTCGGATATTATAAAACAACTATCTGGAATCACGAAAATGCTTAAGTTGCGGAAATCCGATCAAAATTGGATTTTTGGCGAGCGTTTGAAAGTGACGATTTTCGTGTTTTTGACCCCTTTAAGTGGGTGTGGCAGGCGTAAATGTGGCCATGGCATCAAACCCTTTCAGGAGTTTAGTTCACTCATGGGGTACTACAACATACCCAAAGGGCATCTAATTCTGAGAGGGACATGTTCTGAAGTGTTCCTCCTCAGTATGAGTTGCCTCAACTTTATAAAATAAAACCACAAAGAAAAAAATTTTCTTAGGATAGCTGATTTTTGGATTTTCAGGTAAAAAATTGCGACCTTTGACCTGTGTGAAATTTTTTCGATATCTAATCGTGACTGTGTGTTTGCGCACACAGTCACGATTCCTGGGGTGTGTTGTGTTTGTGTTTTATGTGTGTTTGCGCAAAATTTTTGATTTTTATTTCAACAAATGCAGGAACTATACTAATTCAAAATCGTAGGCATAATTCAGTTACATACTGTAGGTAGGTATATCACTATTTTTAGCAAATTAAAAAGTAATAAAATTCTTTATATTCTTTATAGTCTTATATTCCGGCACAATCATCGTAAACCATATCAAATTCCAATTTTAGATTACAAAGTCTATAAAATCTGGTGCTGCGAAGTTGTTACGCTCTGGTCGTGTATTTCCTGAGACAATAAAACATAATATACGGATAAAAATTTACAAATCTGTAAAACTTTAGCATTGCTCTTATGGGAGATTTTGTCAAATTCCGTCGGCGAGCCGTTTTTCAGAAATTCATAACTTTGTTCAAAAAAATCGTAGAGTTGAATGACATATCAAAATTTTCAGAATGATTCGACCTATCGATTAAAAAATAAAACCTCCAAGGAAAAAAAATTACTAGTTGTGGCTGAAAAGTGAGCGTTTTTTGAAAAGGTCATAACCTTTGGCCTTTTTGAGAGATTTCAAAAATACGAATGTCATTCAACCACAATCTTTCTGGACTACCGTGTGCCAAATTTCAAATTTTTTAAAAAAGAATCTCCTACCAACATTAATATAATTGCCTAGCAATCTGAAAAAATTCCTTGCCAATAAAAAATGGCAACCATATAAAATTGCCTAGGAATTTAGCTGTTATTGACCAATTTAAAATTCGGCCCGTCTTTATGTCCGGCTTATCGGCTAGTTTTTCTATAATCTCAAAAAACTGTCTCATACTAAAGTTAGATTCTCATATGCAGAACCGTATTTAATATCTTTTTTACAAGAAAGTGAACGATTGAGCTTACTCATGTAAATATGTTAATATGTAAACCACTTTATCAAATTTACATTGGTTACCTATATAAGTATACTTAAATCGGGAGGCAATACATTAGGGACAATTTCGTATATTGCACAATTTTTTTTACTTAACTCTCACTCACCAATCAATAAATGTTTGTCTACATTTCCATAAGTTATGAGCGAGTAATGGAACCCGTAATTTATTTCGTGTTCTTGCGAACTTGGATTAATTTGTGATAATGTGCTCATCATAGGTGAAACGTGTATCCAAAATCATGTTGTTTAATTTACCAATTGACAGCATTCTCAAGACACGAAGTCCAATTAACCTCCACTCCAATCAGCTAAGTGCATTTGATAATTATGTAGTTTCCCCTAGAAAAAGTGGTTCATTACTAATCCACTAAATTGCCAGTATCTTGTCGCTTGTTGGCGAAGGATAGTGTCATGAAACCGACTAAGGAAACCTCTTCCGTCCAACTTTTTCTAACCATCACCCGCTACCTAGGAATCCTCCCAATAAAACTGGAATTGGGCCACATAACAATTTCAACCGCATCGTATGTCGCGTGTACCTTCCTGTGTACCATTTCTTCCTCTACTTTCCTCCAAATAATCCCATGGTACACACAATCCTCAGAATGGTACAGGAGTTCGGAAAGCTCCACAGACAAAATGATTTTTATGGCATATCTTTCCATCTTTTTCGTTCAACGAGTCCTCTGGCATCCGATGGCGCTTTGGCAGACTACAAAAATCCGATCTCTCTTGGAATCTATGGGTCAATTGGGACTTCTGGATTCTCCGTCAATATTTGGCCCCCAGTTTTACATCCTTTCGATCGGCTCTGTCGTCAGTGCCTGGACTATGGTTTCCGTCATGTCGAAGGATTTAGATAATCTGTTTGAAGATTCGTCAGATTTTAGGGGATACAAGTATCTCCCGCTAAACTTGCTTGTACAAGGTATGGTCAATTTGGCGGTAGGGAAAATTCATAAAATGTCTACTGCAGGTAGCGAAGAGAGATATGTAGGACTGGGTTGGTAAAAATCGCAAAATTTGCATTACATATAAGCGTTTTCAAAATTATAAGCAAAACAGTAATCTAAAGCCGTGAACATTCATACTTTACTTACAAAATTGATAACATACAGCATAAATAAATTCAATACGTTTTGACTTCATTTCAGGCACTGGAACACCGATCGCCGCCGAAATATTTACCCATGCGGCTAACGTCCTTTGTGAAATAGTATTTACCGTTTTCATCTCCCTTTTCATATATTTTCATCGCGCTGTACGAAAATCTCTCACCCAGTTGGACCTCCATCTGGAGAACGAACACCCGCTAATGTGTCACTATTGTGGCGGGATAAAAGCGTTTGGTGGCCATAATTTTTTGACACCGTTAACTAAAATGGGGCATCTGATGAAAATTTTGGCGAAAGCAAACTCGTTGGGGGATCAGTTTATTTTTGTTTTTGGAACGATGTCCATACTTATTTTAATAACGTCCGTGCACGTCTTGCTCGTCACAGTGTACAGAGTAAGCAATTCTGCAGCTGGAGATGGTCAAGCAATTAAGCAGACGATGGCAATGGTTGTGATTGTCTTGTTTGGAGTTTTGAAGATGGTCGTGATCATTGAGGTTGGTCAGGATATCAAGAATAAGGTAGTTTTTTATTTAACTTTAGACGCTTTAAAATTTAAAATAGCCATTCTCTAAGGTTGCCGCGGGTAACGGGCCGGGTACCCGTTACCCGCATACTCGCACGATATTGCGGGTACCCGTTTGTCTGCGGGTACCCGTTTGTCTGCGGGTAGTTACTACTACCCGCACGGGTAACGGGTATTTCGATTTTACATAATTAAATAGCTCGCCTTGCGCAGCCAGTGAGCAGTTGATTTATATAAGAGTTATATATGTACTTTGACATTTTATTTTGCATCATTGGTGCAGAATTTAATCATTGTTGATAGTGTGCGTAATTTTTCGGAAATTCTGCGACAGTCTCAGTGCAATACTAACAATGAGCTGGTGCGATTTGCAACATTCAGATTTGAAATATGAGGTTAAAGTCAATACAACCAACGTGTTTATTGAGGCAGTTTGTGTGATAGTAAGAATTTATTAAACATTTTCCAGTCAAATTTGAAAAGGGAGCGATTTTTACAAGTGGGGAAAATCCACTTCGTTACCAATAAAAATCGATATTTCTTCAATTTTGATCCCAAATATTTTGACAAATTCCAAACATCGCTCAAACTGTCCTGCATTCACTTGAACGACACAATTTCAAAATTTAAACAAAATCGGAAATTTGCACTTCACACTATCCTATTATAAATTCAGAAAACCGGAAGAAATTATTGTTTCTGAAGCATAACTTACTTGCTTTAACAGTTTAGTAATTTCATAGTAATGTGGGATTGGCGATCTTTCAATTTCATAGTAATGTGGGACTGGTGATCTTTCAACTTGATTTTGTAGGAGTAAAAAAATATGATACGATTTAAAGCAAAAATTGAAGTTGCAAGCCAATGTTTTTAAATAAAAATGTCATTTAAATGAAAATGTCAACAATCAAGTCTCACTGCTTTCTTGGCTAACCCTAAGTCAACAAGTTTGTTTTCATGAACAGTTAGCTAAATACAGCTAATTTTATGATAAAATTAGGGAGTGCTGCTAGAAGTTGCTAACGATAAAATTTTTATCGTTGGCAACTTCTAGGCATTCCCTCAAGGTTCTTATTACCCTAGAGGGGTAACTAATTAATTAAATCTGTGTTATTTTGGTAGTTGGTTAATGTTTAACTGAATTCTCAAAACGGGTAACGGGCAACGGGTATACGCACGGGTACCCGTGCGGGAACGGGTAGTTGGGCTGCGGGTAGCGGGCCGGGTAACGGGGTAGCATTTTCGCTACCCGCGGCAACCCTACCATTCTCTTGTCACACCCGTAATGAGTCTTCTGTTGACCTGGGGTTGGATCTGTGCGCCCATGTTGGAACTCGTGCATTTACCGGCGGGGATTTGAAAATTCGGAGACTTGAATAAATTGGCAGAGGTCAATTTTGTACTTACGTAATGTTTTTTTTAAATTCTAGCGTGACAAGATTAGCGCAACTTTGTCCTACCTGGGAACCACTGGAGGTAAACAGTCTACCTATGATCCCTCGGTTTGTCCCCTTGTTTTGGAATTACGACAACTTATGGGTCTCGAAAAATTCGAAATTTGTCCTTCGAACTTTTTCACATTGGACAGAAGACTAATTGCAACGGTGAGGTTGAGATATTTAAACAAATTCATGTATTTCTTAAATTTGAATAGTATATCTTTCCCCGCAATTCAGATGATAAGCACGGTGGTCACCTTTGTGATCGTGATTGCACAAATGAAAGAATCGGAAAGGAACGGGTGACTAAAGATTGTAGCACATAATACAATATGAATTTGTGTAATAGAATAGCATAGTCGTTGTAGAATATTATTTGCATAACTTCATGTAAAATAAAAATAAGTTCTTAATAAAGTAATTAATTGGTGGTGGGTAAGAAAATAGTTAACAATTAATTAATTTGGAATTATTAATTTCTAGCTATTAATTTTTAATACACAAAAAAATATAAAATTAAATTAAATGGTTAATTGAATACAATTTATCAAGGGTGAACGATATTTTATCATCACAGATATGACACATTGTGGGACATGAGGAATATACATGCCCAACAAACAACATACATATCTCATACAAAAGCATATTACTACAAATTAATGACTGAAAGGTTCTTTTTGTAAATTATTAATTTAGAAACGTTTCGCTATATGAACGGAACGGTTTACAATAAAACTAGTATAACCTTATTCATATAGTAACGAAGGTTGAATCCTCAGACAAATTTTTTCACACACTCAGATCGAGAGCAATGTTGGCATATCTGACAAATATAAAGATAAGCCCTTGCATAAAAAGAGTGGCCTCAAGTTCCATTTTCGTTCATTATCTCTCTCTCTGTCTGTCTGGTCTTTTGCAAAGCATAAATTAAAATTAACGTTAAGTAACAAATTTGTCTTCTTCTTGTGCATAGACATCCCATTATCATTTTCATACTTAACAATATATGACATATCAGTGTTAACATTATCCTTGAGAGATTGAAGATTTTTTGCATACTCAAAGAAGTATACATATGTATGAGTCATCAGCAAAACAAGTCAAATTTCCATTATTCAATATACTATTACATAAGTTAATTTATGATATAGTGATGATAATGATGATAACATGGTGCGGATGTACTATCAACTATGGAAAGGACATTGTTATTTATCATGATTTTTAGTGCATCAGAACTGATTACGATTTCGTTATATCTAAGGAATTTGTACTTAATTTATGGGCCATTTCTCATGTTTGGTAATTCCCTTGTGCATAAAGCACCTGGGCTCGCCTCTTCGAGTCTTTTTCAGTTTGAATTAATTAGACAGATAAAGACTAAAAACTAACGATCAAAAATCCAAAAAGGTTGGACTTGATTCAAGAATCGCGTTTTTCCACACCCTGTTTTGTACTGTACTATGCCATGTCAACGGACGTATTTCTTCCATCAAAACATTTGTGTCCCTTCAATATCTCAAATCATGACGAGGATTTTTTTAATAACCAGGCAGGAAACACACCTGCCCCCTGAGTGGCTAATTCGTAATGTCAACAGTCCACCAGAATGCTGGAATGTTACGTAAAATTTAACGGGACAGTCTTTTCGAAATTTTACAGGAGATTTGACGACATCACATCTTGTTGCAATTGTCCAATCCACACTCTAAATAAATTTGATTAAAATTTGCTCAACTTTGAGTGAAAATCGCACTAACACAGTTATTGGTGTAAAATTTAGTCAAGGTGGAGTAAATTTTAGTCAATGTAGTAGGAATTTCGCTCAACGTTGACTAAAATTTATCCCACTAGTTGTGTTAGTGCGATTTTCACTCAACTTTATTGAGAGTGCATGGAAAAGAATAAGGAAATACACTTGTAATCATTTCTATGGGAAATTTCAATAACTTGAAAATTATTACTTGCTTTTAACACAATTAAGACCAAATTATTTATGCAGTGCTGAGAAGCTAAAAGCAGGACCATTACTGAAACAAAGCATGACATGATTATAATTGCACAATTTATATATTTATCTGTAATATGCACATATGTATCTCCAACACAACTACAATTTTTAAGAGCATAATAATTTATCACTCAACAATTTAACCATTCAACCATCTCTCAGACTTAAGTAAAAATGCATGTTCCATTAAATACCCTGTCAATTGGAATCAATAATCAACTATGTTTACAGATATTTTCAATTATCTCACAACCGTAACATTTACTGGTATAATACCAGTGGTATTACATATTGGGACTGTACAATTATAAGCATTTACAAATAAATAAAATCATATTACCTGTGTTATTATATCTTTATCGTGTCGCAGGTGTAATAAGTACAACGGTATTTCCACCCGAGCTGATAAAGAATACAATGACGCAATGCACGTACTCCAAAATTATTTACACAGTATTGATCTATTACAGATTTAGTTTGACATATTAGATTCAATTACCACACACAACTTGAGACAATAACGTCAATCGTGACGACCTTAAAAACCCGAATCTCAAATAAATACGACTCAGTGACCTATTCCTGCCCACTACAGATCGCACCTCATCATCTACATCTATATATTTCATCCGACAACCTCTCGCACTTCAAATTCAAAATGCAACTTTTCAAATTATTCCTTGTTGCATTTGCCGTAATTGTACTTGGAAATGGTAAATGAGCAATTAAACAAGTCATAATGTGCATAATTATAAAACTATATACAACAATGTTTTATTACAGTACAAGCACAAACTGACTTTGATCAAGGCCTCCGCTACTTTTTGCAAGATACTATGCTAGAATTTCCATCCTGGGTGACAGAACGAGGCCTCGACCCCACACCCCAACTTTGGCGAAGAACCATCTTGGAAATTGGTGGCCCCAATTTTACTCTGAGCGGTACCCTAAAGTAGGTAAATTTAAGTCTAATTTTTACCCGGCAATTGGAAACATTTCAAGTTTTTAATTCATATGTATGTGTTACTTTACAGCAACATTTCTTTGACGGGTCTCTCCTCCGAAGTAAAACTTGTTGACACTAGCCCCGTCTCAACTTCGTTCAGCCTCGTTTCATTCTATTTACATGTCTCCGTTGGAGGCTTGTCTGGAACGTATAATGCATCCGGATCCATTCATGGCTTACCAATCGGGGGCGACAGTGTTTTTGACATCGCCTCAAATTCTTTCAGTATCAGATTTTCCGAAAAGTTTCAAATAGATCAAGGATTTATCCGTCTCCTCCCCAATAATTATTTTACTGCGGATTCAGAGTTTTTCTTTGGTGGGTCAAACCTCTCAATAATTGGTACCTTTAGCGATATGTTCAACACGGAAACGGTACAGTATGAGCAACAAGTGCTGAAAAGGATTTCGGAGGAGATGCCATTTTGGGTCTTTGGTTATGAAAGTCCGAGTGGAACTATTAAACTTTTCTATAATTATATTTACGATTTCTTGGTGGCTAAATTTGCTGTAAGTTAGGATGTAATTAATAATGTAATCAATACTTATTTGATAACTACTACTTTAATTGGTTTAGGAAACACCTCTGGCGGATGTTATCAATTGGCCAGGACCACCCACTACTCCGCCGCCAACAACACAGGATCCTTGTGAAACTCCGGGTACGGTTAATACGTTTTAAGTATCATAATTTTCGTCTGTATTTATTTAAGTATTTATCATTGTATATTTTTACAGCTGAAATGACCAGCTTTGCAAAATGGGTGGTATCCAATTATCCTCAATTGTTGCAAGAATACGAGAGAACCATGTAAATAAATATATGCAATAATTGCGGATTTATTTATATGCTACCCATGAGTTAATTGTTGGCATAAATAAAATTAAGTAAATGTAGAGTTCTTTCATACTTTTTTTTATCCCTCTCTACTCTCCTCGTTCCCATTGTCGTTTTGTAAATTAATTACAAGCATGCAATCAAACTAAACAAATATTCCAACTTTAATAATTTCCCAATCATCGCATTATTAGCAGAATTTCGGCTTTTATCTGCTAAATAATATATTGATATATACATAGGTTGTAGAAAAAAGTTGAAAAATGTTGAAAAAAGACTCTAACACATACATTGATGAGGAAAAGATCAGCGATGAGGACAAAAAACAAATCCGATGTGGTGCATCTATAATTAGCAAATTAACAAGTATGACTTTGCAGAAATTGATTCACATTTTTACCAGTAATCATTAACAAATGACAAAAATTGTGAAGTAGTGAAGACGGATAATCGGTAAACAAGATATATTGTAAAAGCCGGAAAATAATGGCCGTGAAGTTGGTAGAAAAATTGTCAACTGTACTTTACATATTCTGAATTCCTTTAACACTTTAAAGAAATGCCAAATTAAGTAACGTGAAATCAGTATTCTCATTTCGCAACAAGCTTCGTATTTCAAATTTGTCATTTACTATATGGCAGAATTTACTCTTATTTATTAATATTGTTATATATTCTAAACAGCCGGGTTTACCATTAGTTAAGGCTACACTTTGTATATCTGTTATGATTACATACAAAATTTATTACCATTATGTGTACACAATACCAGAATACATACCATGATAAATACCACAAGATATAAGATTACCCAGAACGCCATTAAAGTCAAACCCTATTAGTGGCAACCCACCCCAAATAATTGCCAGTGTTAGTGTACACACCAGGAATTGTGTTAACTGAAATACATAAATAGCAACGTAGTTTTTATAGGTGAATATAGTTTAAACTTTATCATTTAAAATCATTCAAGACCATAAGCTCCACCCCGCCAGGAACATACCTCCACATCCTATTCCCCATGATACTAAGCCAGCCAAGAACCACTGAGTCCCTGATAGGCATACTAACGGGGCACCTACCCATTTTAAATAATAAATATTATAAATTATTATTTTTCACTACATTAGCGCAACAGATATTGAAAGTATAGCGCAGAAGATGGCTAACTAACCTCCATCCCCTGTACAAGAATCTTTCCCATTCTCTCCTCCAGCACATAGAAAGGCTTGCTGATTAAGAATGAAGCCAGGTCCAAGACGAGTCGTTTGCAGTCTAGCCTGACACGTTGGACCGTCCATTATCGGCAAGTCAACTTTACCCATAACCGTAGAATATGCACCGTTCAAGGTACTCGCTCCAAATCCTGAGACGTAACACCTAATTAACATACAAACATAAATCCAAATAACAAATCATCACGTTGTTAAATGAAAATTTAATCATTACCTTTGTCCTACAAAAGATGTTCCCGCAGCTGGAAGGCAGATTGGCCGGATGTGTGGATTTGCGTTAAAGTCGACCGAACTTGCCAACTTCAACACGGCCAGGTCATTTTGCAGGTTCGCAACCTGGTACTGCTCATGAATTCGGATTGCAGTCACGGCAATTTCTATGGCGGCGTATGGCTCATTGACAGCGTTCAGGAGGTATTCTCCTAAACGAACTTTTAACGTGACTCTGTACAAGATTGCAATTTTAACATTTGTGAACTGTAGTTTACACGAATTATTAAATGTATCTTCACTAAACCTCAGTGGAGTGACTTTGTGTGCTACTGTTAACACTGTGTTTCCATCGATTAAAACTCCACCACCAATGAATGAGTTATCACTTCCGAGGATTACAACCATCCAAGGATATTCAGAGAATGATGCCTAATAAGTAATTATTGTTATTCAGCCGGAAACACAATATGCCGATCTAATCATAATAAATAAGTTTGGATAGGGTTTTCACATAGAAAGTAATAGGCGTTTCAACTTATTAGGTATATGTACGACAGAATTTTTAAAACATCAACATGATAGTTTCCAACTATCAAGTAATTTTGTAAATCCAAATTTAAATTAGGTAAATCCTCAACTTCCATGTATAGACTTTAAAATACTTTTGGTAAATAAATATTTAAAATCGACAGAAACAGAAAAAAACGTACTTGTCCAGCTCCTACAGTATAGGCCGGAAATGGAATCAATTGCTGTGTCCCGCACGTAGCTGGCGGTCGTGTCGTCGTCGTGCTGATGAGATTACAGCAAAACCTGTTCGGTGGTACGCAAAGGGAAGGTGTGGGCTAGATATTTCAAAAATACGTAAATTCATTCATTCTTAACATCAATTGTTATTTGCATCTTTTTATGCATGCATACATTAACTAAAACCCTGGGATCAATTCCAGCACTACCATCAGCACAGTTTGCAGCAGGCGTACACTGACATTGACCTGGATTGGCGATTGTTGGCACAGGAGTCACAATTATGAGCCCTATATCAATGTAAGAGTAGTGTTGGTAGATCCAATCCGGCAATATCCGATCCTATCCGATCATTTTTTGATCCGGCCATTATCCGGCCATTTACTATAACATGGATCCGATCCGACGGATCAGATCCATGTTATAGTAAATGCCGGATAATCCGGTCGATCGGATTACCATCACTATGTAAGAGTAGCATTTATTTAGAACCTTATTAATTTTGTAACTTGTTTATTAATCCCCTCAACTCCGTAAATTGTGGGATTAACTAACTATACGTACGTACCTTGCCCAACAACATGATTAAATTTATTCGCGAAACACAGGAAAATTACAATTACTGAATTTCCGAAAAATTGAAAACCTGACATAGTTATTTTTCATACAGCTTTTCCTACAATCTGACAAAGAAAGACTGGTGTTCTTTAAATTATGTATGTGCATTTAAGCAACAAAGCAGTTACGATGACTATGACAATTACGTGGATAATATATGCGCAGTGAAATTGCAGTTTTGAATTGAAGCTTTTTAACCTAATAAAATTATTATGTAACTAGCCTACAAGCCCGTCTTCAAGACGGGCCTCAATGGTAACATTCGGTTGTCAGTTAAACGTTAGAGTTGGCCGGTTGTCTTATGTTGGAATCAGACAGCAATAACGTTAGTTACGCAATTCCAACGTTATTTCAAGATATCATAAATACAAACGCAAAAATAACGTGAGAAGATAACGTAGAAATTACATGAACATCGCATAAATTTCGTTATTCGAACTTGATTCTAACGCGAGATTGAGCGGCCGAACCCAACATTAAATTTGCATTAGAATGACATTATTTTATGTTAGTTCAACTTGGTTATAGCGTTACGTTCCATTTGGGGTGGATTTTGAATTTTCTTCATTGGATTTAGTTGTAGAATTTTAATATTTTGGACAGACTGTGTAGACTGAATAGACTGACATAATCAATAACTAGTTGCACCGAATACATTCGAATAATTACCGCATAATATTACACGATCACTGATTAGCCAAACCAAAATACCTGCAACCAATCAGGATACAGGGATGTCATAGAAAATTTCAACGGGATGGACTTTTCGATATTATAATATAGATACAAAATAATTACAGTTATGTAAGCAATAAGTATACAATTGATGTTTATGTAATAGACATAAAGTGTTTTTCCTCGTACTTGGTACCCTCTTCCAATTTGTAGAAAGGTTATTATTTGATAATTATTTACACTAATTTGTACCTTGCATCGGCTTTGTAGTATGCTTATTGAAAACTTTTCAATGAAAGTCATCGTGAATATAAACATTGTCATGTATGGGTCACTAATTTAAACGTTACAAAAACATAAATTAAAGTGAAATGACCGGATGTCATAAGCCTTGCAGCCGCAATAAGTTATTTGACATGATTTATATATAATTACTATTAATGTTTGTCCCTAGTATGGTCATTACATAGCACATACGTAAAAGTGTTTGACTTTGTTTCTACCTATAAACGTTTAACCATAGTTAGACATGTACCTTGGTTGCATGCTATTCATCATATTCACAAAGGCACATAATTATGTATATGAATCATAACCGATTGCAAGTGAAAATGCATGAATAAGGATATTTATCAGTGATAAATTATCACCATTGAATATTAAGCTGATTTCATAATTTTTACTGCCACCGAGTAAACTAAATTCATACTTGGATCCATTAATAAGTAAAAGTTGATTCTGGTATCGTAAATACTAGTTTATACACTCTAAAAAAAATTTTAATGAATCATTACTGCGCGGAGTGCATATATGACTCTACCGCGATAGTAATGATTTGGTATTAAAACAATACTATATGGTAAAAAAATTAACACAAATTAGTGTCAAAATTATTACCAAAAATTGTTATTTTATTACTAAATCAATATCAACATCGTGTAAATTTTTTATTCCGTCACGGTAGGGTCACATATCTACTCCGCATGTTTTTTTATTACCAAGTTGCTAAGAGTGTACAAAACGAAAGCACTAGAAGAAGCAAAAAACGAATGGTTTCAATAACTAGATTTTTATTAACAAATGTTGTTTGCTCGACGAAAATATTACAGTGTTGAAATATTGAAAAGCATCCACGCCCAGTTCACAATTCTTATTGTATCCCATGTACAGTTCATGTCCTTATCTAGCCCTCCAGTTATTATCAGAATCAGCCCGCGTTGCCCCAAAATGACAAGCTTTTCGAATAGCGCGAAACGTCTAAAACAAAGACAAACAACTGTAACTTCTAAAACTAATGCTCGCAGCATGTACTTAAATAAACAACTTGATCTGAAATTTTTTTCTTTCCATTAGTCACGTGACGGATCGCATTTCTGGGAAGAAGCCAAAGAGTGTACACTCTTAGCAACTTGGTAATAAAAAAACAGCGAAGTAGATATATGACTCTACCGTGACGGAATTAAAAATTTACACCATGTTGGAATAGATTTAGTAATAAAATAACACTTTTTGGTAATAATTTTAACACTAATTTGTGTTACTTTTTTTACCATATAGTATTAAAATAATACTATTATTTTAATACCAAATCATTACTATAGCGGTAGTCATATCTGCACTCCGCGCAGTAATGATTCATTAAAATTTTGCTTAGAGTGTAGTTAAAATTAGACCACGACAAGTACCCTGGGTCGCGTTCCTTCGCTGTAAAAGTTCTTGCTGGGAACGCGCTTCCTCTCCGACCTGAAGAACAATATTAAGTTAATAATACAAAATTGGTGACACTAATTTTATAGAATTGTAAAAAAAGAATTCCACACTACATAGTCACCGTACACTCACAGAAGTTGGGTGATAATTGTCACCAGATTTAGACATATGTATATGACTCGACCGGATTCGTTATAAACGCTATCACCGCCGGTGATGATACTAGCCCCAATTTGAATTAATTTGTCGACAACGGTGGCCAATATATCACCAGCGGTGATGAACTTCATGAGTCAAATATGTTGAAATATGGTGAGGACCATCACTCAATTTATGTGACTGTAGTAAAATTTATTTTCCATGCTCTATAATTGCGAAAAAAATCATAAAATTCGCACCTCAAAAAAGTTCTTGATCTCTTGGTAGAACTTTCCTATGGATATAACGGTGATCAAGGTCCTCCCCAGATCCTGCGTCAGCGTTAGTCGCAGGTTGGGCGTGACCGAGGTGCGGAGGCATTTCTTTTCAACTTGGTAAACCCTAGCGGATATGGAAAACCTGAAAAATGTTATTATCCATTTTTACTTAATTCGAATTATATTCGAATCGAGTCGGACTCCACCAGTTTCCACCATTCTAGTCACGGTGGTACTTGAGGAGCATAATAATAAATAAATTAAGACGAGTGTCACATTGCCCCAGTTTTTGGAGGAAAGGCCAGCAGGTTTGAATTTGAAGTGATTTTGAGCCATTAGGAGCGAATCTCACAATGCCCCATAAGGAGAATTTATCGAGCGGTATGTTCAAATTTCGGCTATTTTCGGCTATGAATAGAAAAAAAGGAGAGGCCAACTTCACACTATAATGGAGTCGGACTCCACCAGTTTTCGAGATATATTTACCTATATACGTTATAGGTAAATATATTGCGTGATCTCATAGCGTGACTTGGTTAGCCAAGTCTTTCAAGAGGATTACACATCTTCAATATTCATTTGAGCAACACTTGAACGACATTAATCGAATAATATTCGATAGAAAAATAATACTACAGCGCAAATTTGGGGCGCATGAATCATAATACACATCTATGTATCGGCTGGGTGCATTACATACTTTTTCCCAAAACTCCCTTCAACAAAATCACGTTTTAAATTCATAATGTACTTATGGATAGTCCCTTGGAGGAAGTTTGTTGGCAGTGCAGTGACATCCTTGTCCTTGAGTGAGGTGGTTAATATATATTAGCAGTTATCTGTTCACCTGCTAGTTAGTTGGTTACACAACACCTCGTCGGCAACATTTTGCAGTATACAATAAATACGTGGCCTCCTTATTGTGCGCTCTGTAACATCAACAAATCTGAAGTCTGATTTGATATATTTAAATTACCCTAAAGTCCGTAGATGTTTAGTTAGCCACAGGCATAACCCAGCGCAATATTTCAATAGTAACCCGATAAAGAATTGTTCCCTATATCCAAATAGATGCAGCAATGACCTCATGGAACCCTAAGTACCCAATGCATGTGGCCCAGAGTTGTACCATTTTGTCCAACTTGACGTGGTCTTTACAAACGCATGCGCCATCCATGGTTTGCGCATTAAAACGGTGCCAATTTTCTAATTGTGAGTCTCATTTTATTTACGACCTGAACATCCTGGGGGTGGTGACGAATTAGAAAAATCTGTGAAAATATATTTCCCCCCCAAAATGGTGCACTTTTCACAAAATAGTTGGAATTTTGAAATCCGATCTGTTGCTGACTGATGAGTTACGAGTCGGCCAACTCAATAAATAAATTTGCTTCAAAGACATACTTGGCTATATATCCATTGTGTAAGAAGCTCAATCCCCCAAATATGTTTGGTCTCCACCGAACACTTTTTATAATTTGTACCCTCTCCAATCTCTTATTCCACTGTAATTGCTCCCTCTTTTGGCCAGTTATCTATCCCGGTGCGGATGTCACTTTCTTATTCACTACAGAATGTTCAAAATTATTGAACGTGGATTCTGACTACCCATATTTTTCAGGTATCACCGAAACTACAGAATATATCCCTCTCAAACTTGTACAACTTTGTCACAAGGAAAAAACCTTAAATGACACTTATCCCCTGAAGAAATTTGGTCATCGTAACCGTTGCAAGTCGTCAAGACCTCGCGCCATTTTTCTCCGACTCGATTCCACCGATGGGATTCAGCAATCCTTAAAATGCGAGTACTTGATTTATCTCGCAGAGAATGAATTTCATCAAGAATACATTTTCGGGGATATTGCCCAACCCCAAAATTCCCCTTGTATTTTAAACGCCGCCCTTATGCTAAGTTCCGCCAAGCTAATTTTATTTTCACAAAAAAATTTCACTTTTTACATACCTTGTTTAACATGTGATGCCATCATTTCTTCTCAACTTGAAACTATTATCTCGTTGCCAGCCGTT